AAAAAAAAAGAGTTACAGTTGCAGAAACCTACAGGGGCAGTTCCACAGGACAGCACTACAAGTCAGAACAGAATCAATGGCAATGCATTTGGTTTTGATTTTGTTTTAAACGGAATCCCAAGGTTAAAAATAGTTAATGTGCTGAATTGCTAATTGAGGCACCTCAGAAGAAAATCCTGGTGACCTTCTTCTAAAAAATAAGCCATTAAAAACCCTGTATAGCACAGTTTTACTCTAACACACGTGAGGTGGCCATGAGGCAGAGTTGACCTGGCGGCAACTCTTTGGTTTTGAGACTGGCAGGGCAAGAATGGCTGTATGGGAAATCTATAATCATCAAAGAGTAGACAGTCTAAGTAGCCTTTTCCTCACCACCACACTTGGGAAAACCATGAAGAGTAAGGTTTGAGGGCAATGGAAGAAAGTACTTCCTAGCTTAGTGCATATTGTGGATCTGAAATGCAATACTCTAGATTAGGTATGGTTTGGTTTCTTTTGACCTTTGCCAGCAACCTGGGGAGGTGACATGACAGAAGTCTTAGTGATGATATATAACCCTGAGCCAAAATCCTTAACAACGAATGTTACACTGAGAGATTCAGCACCTAGTAAACATTTCAAAGGACAATGGTAAAATAGCTTCAGGTCACCCAGTACAGTAAACATCAGACTTTGAAAAGGTTTGTTTATTTCTCACTCACATTGGAGAAACTCAATTTTATTCCATTTGTTAATCTTTCTTCCTCCATTTTCTTCATTTTATCCCTTTACATTCCTGGTGTGATCGCTAGGCTTTGAGTCAACGTGGCTGTGCCAGGAGCCACAGTAGTTTGGCCACTGAAGCTTAGTAATTTTCCATGTTGTGACCTAACAGAATGTAATCAACTCTATGATGGGACCTGCTACGAGCAACCAGTTATAAAAACATTAGGGTGGAACGCACTACTCCTTACGTCACAGCCTGATGCTATTGAAAAGACCTTTCCTCAGGGCTTTGGTCAATTTCCTATAGGAGTGGATGTTATGGGAAAACTTGCTTGCCTTCCTGCTGCGTCTAGTTCCTG